TTTTTTGAAACAGTCTCACTATGTAGTTGAGACTGACCTGGAACTCACTGTGTGGCCTAGGCTGATCTCAAACTCACAGCAATCCTCCTGCCTCAGCCTCCTGAGTGCTGGGATTATGGCCTGCGCCTCCACGCCTGGCTATTTGTCCCTTCTTATATTCGTTGTGTATCAAGTTTTTGCTATTATGAATAAAACTTTTTGTGCATATTCTTATACATGTCCTTTGAGGAAAGTAAGCCCTTCATTTCTTAAGAGTGGACTTGCTGAATCACACATTCATAGTGGTTATAGCAATTTACATTCCTAACAGCATTGTGCTCTAAATGGTCACAAAATTCAGTGAATGTTAAACTAAGAAAATTTATGACAATAAAAGAAATATTGCGTGCATCCTCCCCCAATCCCATTACTCTTGTAAAGCAGTGTGGGACATTCTCTTTTGTTACTGTCTTTAGTTGTTCAGTGTCCTTAATCAGTTCAGAGCATTTACCTTTCGTGGTCATTTTGACTTGGGAAAGAGCCAGAAGACCATGTGCCAGATTCGGTGAATAAGGTGAATGAGGATACACTGTAATTTTTTATTTGACAGAAATTGCCATAAATGTTTTGAATTGATTCAGGATGTGGGCAGCCATGATAGTGCAACCAGAGACATACAAGAGGACTTTCAGAAGACTTCCAGAGCTGATTTAGAAAGTGCCAAGAATTATGTGGTGTGTTTGAAGGGAGAGGGAGTATTGTATTTTGAGGGTAATCAATGGCAATGTGTCTTTTACTGTAAATGTAATAAATGTTTAAAATATTTTTATCACACTATGACAGTTTCAGTTGCACACTGCCCTAGCCTGCACATCAAATTATCACATTAAAATTTTTATAATGGTATTTCATTGTGGCTGTAATTCACATTTTTCTAGTTATGAGGAAATTGAGCACCTTATAATGTTCTTTCTGGGCTTTAGGGTAGCTCTTTCATTAAGTACCCATTTATACATTTTCCATGTTTTTTAAGTTTCAGGGTGTTGTCTTATTGATACATATGTGTTTAGTTTATTCTGGATCTGAATGTCCTGCAAGTGACTTATACCCTTTTGACTCTTAATAGTGTCTTTGATAAAGAAAAAGTTTTATGGTCCTTGATAGGTGAACTTTTAAAATATGACAGTTAATTTAAATAAATCTCTTGAGACTGATTCATTAGTTAAATTGTGTGAGAAACTAAAGATTAAATAAGGTTCAAAATGTATAATTGATAATAGGAAGAAAAGGTCTAAAGGATTAGGGGAAGTGGGAGGGGTAGGGGAAAGAAAAGAAGGGAAGGATAAAAATATGAAAAAAGGAAAAATGGGAATAAAGTCTTTGTGAACGGGGGGGGTGGAAGGGAAGGCAGGGGAATGGGGAAAAAATAAGAACCAAGATATATCATCATGTAAACGTACAAGTTCTCATTGATAAATGTAACTATTGTATACCTAAAATGTACCAATAAAAAGTATTACAGTTAAAAAAAAAAGGACTTGTATACATGTGCATGGCTTTTTTGGTTTTAGTTTTGGTGCTGAGGCTTGAACACAGGACCTTGTGCATGCTTAGCACAAGCTTTACAAGTTCAGATACACCTACCCCAAACCCAGTCAAAATGAAACCTGGGTGTGACAGTCTATTCGTCTAATACATTACCCTGGGAAGCTAAAAGAAAAAGAATTGCAAGTTTTAGCTCAACCTGGACAGTTTAGTTAGGTCTTGTCTCAAAATTTTAAAATAGGCTCATCTGGGGATGTAGCTCAGTGGAAAGGCCCCAGGTTGCATCCCTAGTATGCAAAACAGGTGAACAAACAAACAAAAAAAATCAGTTTTTAAGCCATCTCAAACAATAGATTAGATCTTACTTTGAAAGAAAAGGGAGAAAAACTCATAGAGCATCTCCTTGATCTTTTGTTTTAATGGGAATGTTGAGACAGCGTTTATGAATCATGAAATAAATCTTCATGGTTGATAGTTTAATTATATTTTATGGATATAGATGTCAAGATTGAGGGAAGTTGGCAACCATAAAACCTTAACGGTATCCTTGAGCCTTCTGAATTTTGTTTTGGGAAAGATGTATTGCTTTGGTATGTTTGAATGTTAGCATTGTAACAGAAGTGTTTGTATACCTGTGATACCACTTGTGGGTATAGAGAAACAAGGGACAGAAGAACTGTAAAAAATATGTATATCACTTATGTTCTGTAAGTCTGTCATTGCTAGAAATAGTGTATATAATGTCTCCCTTTTTCTGAATTTCTGTCTTTGAAATAAACACATTTTTAGTGAACTGGATGTCTCTTAGCTAAAATTGAAAGTGTCATCCAAATGTGTTATTTCCAAGTCTTTACTAAACCGTAGCTTTCAAGTGAGCATATTCACATACTTAAAAATTAAGAACAAGAAGGATAGCATACTTGAGTATTTGGAAATGATCAAATTATTTGGGGGTAACAGTAGCTGAAATTGGGAATCGCAAACTAGACATGCCTGATAGATGTATAGGTGTGACCTGAGGAAGGTAGAAAGACTTGTATGTATGATGATTGAGCAGAGAAAGAGGGAGGGAACAAAAAGATTGGGTAAAAGTAGCTTTTCTATACCTGTATTTTAAAAGAGATTCCAGCCTGTATATGTATTTAAAAGTATTATGTTGCATAGTTAGAAAGTTTTGAAACGAGTGAGGGAGAGGATGGTCTCGATCATCGGTGATCCTCAGTTTCTAGCTTCCAGAATTTTGGAGGAGGGGTGGAGAAAGACAATACAAATATTAATAGAAGGAGAATATTAAAGCTAGGATAAACTAGTGGTTTTTTTATTTTAAATAGAAGTCCATTGTGTTAATTAAGCATGGTCTCCTCTGGTTGAAGGAAAAAGATGGGGGTTAGATATGTAACATTACTTCTGAGATTTCTGTTCTTCTAATCCACCTCATTCTACTCCCCAGTCCTTGAAGCACAGCCAAGAATAGGCAATTTTAGATCCATTAATCCAGTTCTCTTTGTCTGTTCCCTCTTTCTCTTGGCAGTCACCATGTGCATCTTTCTACCTTCCTCATTAAGGGAACATCTATACTTCTTTCTGTTCTTTTTGCTTTTGAATTAATGCTCCCTACTTCCTTTTGCAGAAATGTTTGGGTGATTATAGCAGTACTTTTGGAATCTGTTCGTTTAAATGATTTTTCATCACAATTCAGTTTTCATTTTTGGAAAATAACTGTGCAGGACAATTTTTAGTCATATCTTGCTCTATACCCTTAGATTTGTGGACTGAAACAAATCTGTATCTGGTCCCCAATATGTTCTTCTCCCATATTGAGAGCCAGTGATGTATTCTGACATCTGCTTTCCTTTAATAAGTATTGGGGAAATGGGCTCAGATATGTAAATCGGTTTTTGTTTAGTCAGTGTAATAAGGCAGAGCTAGAATTAGGCTGTGCATCTGGCTCCCTTCTTAGTGTTTTCATACCTTTCATTGCCTGGATATTTAAAATAAACAGATTTTAATGAACCAGGGTCAACTCATTAAAATTAAAAATTCCATCCACATTTATTTCTAGGTCTTTGAAGAAACTGGTTTTGATATCAAAGACTATATTTGTAAGGATGATTACATTGAACTGAGAATCAATGACCAACTTGCTCGTTTGTACATCATTCCAGGAATTCCAAAAGACACAAAATTTAACCCCAAAACCAGAAGAGAAATTCGGGTAGGTAACAAATGAGAGTATCTGCAGGCTGGACAATATCCAAATCGAATTAAAATTGAATGGGAAATTCTTTTTTAAAACTCCTCAGTAATACTTGACTAAATAATTTATTTTTTCTGTTTCAGAACATTGAGTGGTTCTCCATTGAGAAATTACCCTGTCACAGAAATGACATGACCCCCAAATCCAAACTTGGTTTGGCACCAAATAAATTTTTTATGGCCATTCCCTTTATCAGGTATATTCATATTTTTTGAAATGTAAAACCTTCATGTTCTGTACTTTAGATTTTAAAAGTGAATTTTCAATGTTTGCATAGGCCATTAAGGGACTGGCTTTCTCGAAGATTTGGGGATTCTTCAGACAGTGACAATGGATTTTCCTCAGCTGGCAGCACACCAGCCAAACCCACTGTGGAAAAATTGAGGTAAAGAAATATAATTTATATTTGTGTATTTTTATTTTTGATATGCTTATATTTATATATATTTATGTATAAATATCTTTCTTATAGTTTTTGGGGGGTACTGGGGATCAAGCTCGGGATCTTGAGCTTTCGAGGCAGGTGGTGGAGCCCCTGAGCTAAATACCCAGCTATGATAGTTTTTAGTACAGTAGCATTTTGCTTCTGAAGTGGGCAGAGGTGTAAGATTTCTTTTTAAGTGGGTTTTTTTTTTTTCTTTATTCTTTTGGTACCGGGGATTGAACTCAGGTCCTTGTGCTTGCAAGGCAGGTGGTGGAACCACTAAGCTACATCCCTGGCCCCAAGATTTCTTTTTATAGATAGTATTTTGTTACTGGTCTCACAGATAATAGAATACTGTTATAAAGGGATTTTGATTGACCAGAAAAAGGTTAATTGGAGTTGGAAAGGAGCTTCAGGCATACTTTATTTTATTTTTTTATTTGTATATGTTTGTAGTACATGTTTACCTTCCTTGGGAGGAGTTGGTATAGGTTCATAACATATCCTAATTGCTATTGTCATCCCCTTTCCCTCCTCTCCCTGCCCACTCCTCCTGTCTCTTGATCCCCTTTCTATTTGAGAAACATGTATCTCCTTACTTCCTATTTGTTTTATTTTGCTCTTTATTTGTATTTTGGATTTCTCTTAGAAATCCATGTGATTGATAATTAAGCTTCTGTGGGTCCTTTATTTCACTAACATGGTTTTGAGGTGCATTCATTTTCCTACATATGACTTAAGTTTGCCTTTCTATATGGCAGAGTAGTACTCCATGATGTGTAAAGACTGTATTTTCTGCATTCATTCATCTGTTGATGGACGTGTAGGCTACTTCCAGGTCATAGTGCTTCTATATGCATATATCACTGTAATATGATGTCTCTAACTCTTGGGAAAATATCTAGAAAGGAAATAGTTGGGTCAAATGGAATTTCTAGTTTTAGTTTTTGGAGAAATCTCCATACTGATTTCCATAGTGGTTGTACTAGTTTACATTCTCACCAACAATGAAGAAGGGCTGCTTTTGCCCTGCAACCTTGCCAGCATTTGTTATTTGATTTTTTGATGATGGCCATGATTTGTGGGGTAAGGTAGAATCCAGTGTTGTTGTAATTTGTGTTTCTCTAAAGCCAGTGATGTTGAGCATTTTTCAACAATTATTGGCCATTTGTACTTCTGTGAGTTGTGTATTCATTTTAGTTGTCCATTTTTTGATTTGGTCTTTGATTGGGGGGTCTGATATTTTTGTGTTCTTTATATATTCTTGATATTAGTCATCTGTCTGAGAAGTACCTGGTTAAAAAAAATTTTTTTCCATTCTTTCAATTTGTCTTTTCACTTTGCTGGTGGTTTCTTTTGCTGTGTAGCTTTTTAATTTAATATGATCCCATTTTTAAAATTCTGGTGGTACTTTTTGTGCAGGCAGGGTTCTTTCTGTTTAGGAAGTCTTTGCCTACAGGTGTGAGTTCAAAAGTTTTACCTCTTATCTTGCAACAGGTGAAATGTTTGTTTTAATAAGCTGTCATTCCTTGTGTTTTTTTACCTCTTTATCAAATAGTGTTCTCAGAAGGTAGTATTCCATTTTAGTTGGGTTTTATCTGAGGTTTTTTTTTTTTTTTGAGATAGGGTCTCACTGTGTAGTTTAGACTGCCCTGGACCTCACTGTGTATCGCAGGCTGGTCTTGAACTCACAGTGATATTCCTGCCTCAGCCTCCCAAGTGCTGGGATTATGGGGGTGCACCACCACGCCCAGTTTAGAATGAGAGTTTTAATTAAATGCTGTAGAATAATTTCTGCCTTTGAAAATTGATGATTATAATTACCAAAAATCTGTTCTCCTAGAAAAAAGTGAAACAGTATAGACAAAGTAAGGTAGACAGAAATGCTGCCAAAAAGTTAGGAAACAGTGACAGTTTTTGAAAGAAAATTACATAAATGTTCGTCTTTGGGAAAATCTAGCCACTATAATGTACAGTACAATTCCTCTACCTTTTAGTCCCTCTTAGTGTTCTTGGTTCATGGGTAAGGAGATAGTAAGACAACTTCTAACTAAATTTCAGGTTTTATATAGATATCATATTTATTTTTAACCTGTGTCATATTTCTACTAATCTCTGTGGTGATATGTTGGAGGAAATGTCTCGATTTTGCCTATGGATAAAATAGACCAAAATATTATGTAGGTCTTACATGGGGAGCGGGCAGAAGATAATTAACTATAATGTTGTTCTTGGGAACAGTAGCTGTGGGCTGTACTTGTGCTATACATGTACGTGGTACTATGTAATAATGAGATTTCTTATGTGAGCAACTATTACTATGTGGGTGTTATATTGTTTTGCATAAGAATTGAAGACTGTCTCTTTTAATCTGACCACCTATTGTTTTGTACCCTTAATTTTTGCTTTAGAAAGTAGCTTAATTTCTTAGATGTTCTTATAACATGGATAGAGGGCCTTTAACTGACCTGTTCAGGATGAAATTTCATGCTTGAAACATTCTAGTAAGAATATGAATTGTATGTTGTATTAAGAAAGGTCTTGAAAGAAAGGTTTTTTTGTTGTTTTTGTTTTTGTTTTTTTGATACTGGGGATCCAACTCTGGCCCTTGCTCTTGTGAGGCAGGCGGAGGAACCACTGAGCCAAATCCCTGGCCCTGTGTTTCAAGTAAATTTAGAAAGAATTATTTTCCTCAAATATTAAATAATATATAATTACCCAGGGAAGAGATGGTATGGATGATTTTGAAATTTCTAGGATAAAAATAATACTTATTAATTCATTCAAGAGGTAGTTGGACTAGGATTGTAGCTCACTAGTAGAGTGTTTGCCTAGCATATACAAGGCCCTGGATTTAATCCTCAGTGCTATGAGGAAGAAACTGTGTGTTGAGTACTTGTCTTTTGCAAGTGCTGGGGATAAGATGGGGGCAAAACAGATAAGAATCTCTGCCCCCACGGAACTTCCATTGAAGTATCAAGAGAGACAATATAAGATAGTAAAATATGTAGTTTGTAACTTAGGCTATTAGAATGTTTAAAGAATTCTAATTGAAATTTTTCTCATCTGATTTTTATTCTTAAAAATTTGGTATAGTCGAACCAAATTCCGCCACAGCCAGCAGTTATTTCCTGAAGGTTCCCCAGGAGACCAGTGGGTAAAGCACAGGCAGCCAATGCAGCAAAAGCCATATAATAACCATTCTGAAATGTCTGACTTATTAAAAGCAAAGGTAAGTGATGTACTTTAAAAATTTTCAGAAATTTAGATCATTTGTCTTGGTTTTTGGGTCAGGGTCTTGGTATGTAGTTCAGGCTGGCCTCAAACTCCTGGCTGTCTTCCTGTCTCAGCCTCCCAAGTGCCAGGATTACAGGCATATATATATACCAGCTTGGCTAGATTACTTGCCTTTTAAGTCATTTTCAGTTGGAGAATTGCCTATTAATGGTGAATTATACAATTTAATTGTAAGTCTTGTAGTGTATTGATGACTCTAATTTATCCATTCTGGTCTTAATGGAAATTTTGATTGTTCCCAGTTTGTTTCCTGTGTTCTTGCATATATACTTGAAACAATTTTCTCAAATAATTTATATCTTCAGCAAAAGATTTGAGACTTATAGACAAATAAAGTGGCACATACATCTAATCACATTGCTCTGGGAGGCTGAAGCAGGGGATCATAAGGTCAAGCCCAGCCTGGGACAGTGTTTGAAAATAAAAAACAAAAAAGGGTTGGGTTTTTAGCTAGTATGAAGGACCTAGCTTCAATCCCAGTCCTGCTCACCCTGTCCCAAAATATTGTTTCATTCTTGCTTGTATTTGGTATTATCTATCCTTTTTTATTTTAGTTATCCACTGTATTGCCACTCTTTCACTTTTTAAAAAAATACAGAGTTTAAGGTGCGTGTGGCGACACACTTCTAATCCCAGCACACTGCTCAGGAGGTGAAAGTAGGAGGATCACAAGTTCAAGACAAGACCCTGTCTCATACGACACACACCCTTGAGTTTGTCAAAGTCAAAAATTTATACGCTTCAGAGGACATTATCAGGAGTGAAAAGACAACCCACAAAATGGGAGAAAATAGTTTGTGTGCAAAACCACATATCTGATAAAGGTTTAAAATCCAGAATATATGAAGAATTCCTTCACCTCAACAATATAAACCCATCCCCATTGAAAAATGGGCAAATGACATGAACAGATAGTTCTCAAGAGAAAATATCCAAATGACCAATTAAGTACAAAAAAGATGTTCAGCATCATTTACTATTGGGGAAATGCAAATCTAAACTTCAGATTCTCATATATTAGGATGGATAGTAGTAGTGATAATGAATAAAACTTAACAAAATGGAAAGTAGAAAGCCTTGGTGGGAGTGGAGGATTGGAACCCTTGTGGGTTTGCTGGAAGGGTTGTAAAATGTACAGCAGCTGTGGAGAACAATTTGTGGTATCTCAAAAAAGTCAACAGTTATATGACTCGGCAGTTCTCCCTCATGGGTAACATCCGGAGGAACTGAAAGCAGGAACTTAAACAGTCTGATATACTAGGTTGTCAGCAGGATTATTCATATTAGCCAAGAGGTGGAAACAGCCTACTTGCCTGTCAGCAGATGAGTAGATGAAATGATTTGTATACATGCAATAAACTGATTTTAGCCTTTATAGAATGAAGGTCTGAGACATGCTGAGACATGTTCTGAGACAGTGCAGGTGAAACCTAAGGAGACAGAAGTGACATAAGGGCAGATAGTATATGGTTTCACTTGTGTGAGGTAGCGGGTATAGGCAAACTGATAGAGACACAGAGATTATCAGGGCTGGAGGGAGGGGGTTTACTGTTTATTGGGTACAGGCTGTTTCTAAAGATGAAAAGTTTGGGAAAGATAAGTAGTGATACTGGACATTGTGTCTAATGCAATTCAATTACACTAAAATGACTGGAGTGACAAATCCTGAGTGTTATACATCGCCACAAAAAAAAAAAAAATACTGGGAAGAGCAGAAGGGTGCTGAATTAAAAAGCATGGTAATATGAATTTTTGAAAGCAATTATTGCTCCATCATCACTTATTTTAGTGCTAGTATTTTCTACAGGTAAATAGAATAATGTTTTTGTATATTTAAAAATTAATGTTTATATTTTAGACAATCTTTTTTAATATGTTTAATTTTTAAACATATTAATTGATTGATTTTTGTTCTTGGAATTGAACCCAGGACCTTCACATTGAGCTGCATCCACAGCCTTTTTCTGTTTTTTAAATTTTGAGTCAGGGACTCACTAAATTGCCCAGGTTGGGCTTGAACTTGGGATCCTCCTGCCTCAACCTTCCATAGTACCGGCATCTCAGGTGTACACCACCATACCCAGCTAGAATTGGTCCCTTAAATAGATGTCTTTTCAAGAATTTAAACTACAAGTTTTGTTTAAAAAGTGTTTTGCGAGCCAAAATAAAAGACTTTTCTCTTGTAAGTTAAAAAAATGTTTAAGTTAAATTTAGATTTTTTTTTTAACTCATATTAAACCAGTATAATAGCAAGGTTTTAAACCATGCTGCGTGTTTAGGTTTTATGTCAGAATAATGGCCCCAAATTTTAAAACACTTCATTTTTGATGCAAGATTATTTGATAATGCTTATATGTTTATTAGTAATTTGAAGTAGATTTTAGAAATAATAATTGATCACAGCTGTTACCTTCTTTTTTGCCCTAAGAACTGTGGCTGTTGTGCCTTAACATTCCTTCTCAGAGAGCTCCCCTTTGATCATCATGTAGTGTTTTCAAAAATTGTTTTTCCATACCCCCACTTTTTTTCTTTTTTTTTTTTTTTTTTTTTTTTGAGGGGGTACAGGGTCTCACTATATAGTTGATACGGACGTGGAACTCACTATGTAGCCCAGGCTGGTCTCGAACTCACAGCGATCCTCCTGCCTCAGCCTCCCGAGTGCTGGGATTACAGGCGTGCGCCACCACGCTCGGCCATACCCCCACTTTTAAAATTTTAATTTTATGTTTATAATGTTTGTGATTGAACCCAGGGCCTTGTGCATTCTAAGCACAAGATATCATTGAGATACTCCTGTGCCCCCATTTAGCATTATAAATAAAATCTGTATGCAGATATGGGAGAATAAGGCAGGAAATGTGAAAAGATTCCTGGGAAACATTGTATGTGTTATTTTATACCGTTAGAGGAATCTTGCTTTGTGAAGCACTGTCTTCTGTAAGGAGATACACTGGACCCTTGACTTACGAATGCAGGTGGTCCCAGAGAGTTGGTTGTAACTCAAGTTGGTCGTAAATCAATACAGCTGAGATCTGGATGTTTACCTGAGTACACACTATAGGTAACAAGAGGCAGATGAATCTTCTGTTAACCTAATTAGCCCAGGTTGTTAGTATGTCGAGCTGGTCATAACTTGAGGATCCACTGTATATCGATGTGGTGATTTATGAAAATTTTCTTGGCTTTGCTGACTAACCATCTGTAAACATTTTTGAGGTATATTCTTCTGTGGTTTTTACATTATATTATATAGATTTAAATTTTATTTCTTTTTACTGGAAAAACCATCAGAATATGAGGGGAAATGGCAGAAAACAGTATCAAGACTCACCTAATCAAAAGAAAAGAGCTAACGGGACCCACAGTCAGCCAGCGAAGCAGCAGAATTCATTGATGGTAAGAGTTACAGCTCCGGACAAAGCAGGTGGTCCTTCCTTTTCACAAGTGGAGCGAGGTCATTGTTCCAGCACATTAATGTTGTTGGGTTTGTTCTTGTTTTAAGTGATACATTGACAGGATTTTTAATGGAACTAAATTGTATACCATTATATTCATTCACTGAAAATCTCTTGGACCACTCTTAATTACAGGAGGGTAACATTCACTCAGTTTCATATCTCATTTTTCCCTTTTCTACAATTATTTACTTTAGGAGTGAAAACAGATTCCTTCTAGTTTTTTGACATTCCCTTATATTTTCACTATGTTGAGTGTGCTGTACAGTAGCACACCAGAACTTAGCATCAATTGATCAGTCTCCTACTATCCTCTTTGCGTCCTCTCCCCAGCTTCTGATAACCACGATTATAATCTGAACTTTCACTAGATCAACTATTTTGTAGGTATTATTTTAATGAAGTTGAAAGTTTGAGAGAACATTAGTTACATTTTTTATTTAAGTTGATAGAGTTCAGAAAATTAAAAATAAAACAGGCAGTGTCATCGTCATTAGAGTAAGCCTAAACACAATTAGCTATGAATATTTTACAGCATTTTCTTTTATTCTGTGTAGTTTGTGCTCTAAAAATAATAATATCTTAATAGCATCCTCACTCATCTCTTCTATAAATACTAATATTGGTATATTGGAGTTTTTTGATAGTTCATTTCTTTAATAAAGTAGACAGTAGTAACTTCAAACTTTGAGCAAAAAATATTTCATGTGAATTCCATGGGTGATACTTTCTTAGCTTGAGGTATAATGATACCATCCATTAACATATAGTAGTATATATCATTTTATTTCATAGTACTCTGATAAAAGTATTGAAAAGAACAAAGACAAAAATCTTAATAGATGATCAAGTCTTATGAAATTCAACACCTGTTTCTAACAAAAAGCTAGAGAAATTGTTTCTTAATGATAGTATTGTATAAATGTTAATTATCCTCAAATTAATGTGTAAATTTAACTCAGTATCTATCAGTCAAGATCCTTGTCGATTTTGGAGACACTTCACAAAGGACTCTCAGATTTGTCTAGAAAAACGAGTAGATTTTTAAAAGTTAAAAGTATATGAACAGCTTATAAATGAGTAAGTGACTGATAAAAAGTGTTACACTGTATGTGTACTCAGTGTAAATTAAAGTGGGATACACTTTTTTCATCAAATAGGCAAGCATAAAAAGATTCTACAGTATTTTTGGATATATTAGCAAATCATAATTACTAATTGGTATATCTTTTAGTGGGGAGCTAGCTGCACAAAATATCTGGAAAAGTGCTCATCTCATTTTCTTGGAAGAAAAATTCAAAGAATAGTCACTGTCCCCTTACTGTTCATGATATTGAAAATGTGGAAATAATCTAAATATCCAAGAGGATGTTGATAAATGTAGTGTTGTGAATACCATGCTACCATTACATTAGTAAAACTGACCATGTAGGTTTGCATTTATTGAAAAGGTATTTTGTTCAAAACCTATTAATATTTATAAAGGTTGTAGAACTGCTTGGTGTAGCTTGGTGGCAGAGCACTTGCCTAATATGTGGGAGGTGCTGGGTTTGATCCCCAACAATGCAAAATGAAAAAAATATAGAACAATGGTATATATTCTTTAATTCCATTTCAAAGCTGTACAGTTTTATGAAACTATAATCATACATACCTTCATTGGAAAAATTAACACTGCAGTATTGATAGTAATTAGCTGTGGGTTGAGAAAGGTAGGGAATAATTCTTTTTCCTTATTCCTCTATATAGTCAAAACGAAAAAGTTTTAGGCTTCAAAAAAAAACCCCCATGAAACAGTAGAAATGGTGATTTTATTCTTGTTTTAATTTTTTCTTGAGAAATTTGGTACTATAACTTCTGATTTTTTTAATAAGTGAAAATAACTAGAAACTGTCTTGTGTGTGTGTGTGTTTTTAAACAGAAATGTGAAAAGAAACTGCATCCACGAAAACTTCAGGATAACTTTGAAGCAGGCAAGTCAATTTGTATTTTGTGCAAGTCTCTGTCATGTGGGATTTGGCTTGCTTATTGAACAGTGACTTTAGCAGGGTTTGTTAGGAAGCAGGAAGTGTTGCATATGTTTTATAAAGAGTTTATTATGTATGTGGAGATACTGAAATATGAAACTGGTTAAAATGGATTAAACAATCAAGGTGAAATTACTTGCTCTTTGTGCTGTTTTGTAATTGTTGAACCTTGGTGTTATGCATGAATATTGTAGGAATTTTACATGGCTTCAGGCGGAGGTGGCAAACCTGTGGCACACTTTTTTTTAAGACAAAGTTATTAATGTATGAGTTCTTTCTACATTAAAGCCTCGGTATTCACATTTAATTGTAGTGTTGGTACTCTGATTCCAAATGGGGTTGGGGTTGCAGTTGGGGCCCTCGTCTCTAAAAGGTTCTCAATCACTCGCTTAGTAAGAGTGGAAAGAGCTAAGTATTATAAAGGTGAGGAAACCTCATTCTCACATGTGTGTGAGGGGTGCCCTGAATTCAGAATGAAACTTGTTCACGTTTTGTTTTGGAGGTAATGAGATCAACTTTTTAAGGTGATACCAAAGACAGCTTTTGTTACAATGATATTTGCATTTTCTCCATCTTGAATTATGAAAGGTTAGGTATTTTTGATTTGGAAACTAATCGTAATGAATGTGGAAAGCTTTTTTTGGTAATACTGATTTAATGTCAGTTGAAAGTACAGTGTACTCTTTAGGTCCTAGTTTGAATAGTGTGAAATTTTGTGTAATAGCTATGCATTTATCATCTAAATTCAAGGTTGTATAGAAAACACTAAAGAAGAAATGAAAAGCACTGTATAAAAATGTCTAATTTAATTTAAGCAAGATAAAAGCTGTTTTTAAGAGATGCTTTAACCCTACCGTGATAGTTAACCATGCAGAAGAAACTATTGTTAAAATTGAGTTTGATATAATCTCACTTGTTTAGTTTTTGCTTTTGGTGTCACATACTAGAAGTCTTTGCTCAAACCAGTATTAAGGAGATTTTTCCTCCGTGTTTCCTTCTAGGAATGGTATAGTTTCTGGTTTTACATTTAAGTCTTCGATTTTGAATTCCTTTTTGAGCAAGGTATAAAAATAAGGTTCCTGTTTCTTTTTCATGTTGACATCCAGTTTTCTCAGCATCATTTATTGAAGAGTCTGTCCTTTGGCCTCATTAAGAGTTTAGCATAATCTCTTAAAAAGTGTAAAAGGATTCTTATCATGGAAAGCTTCGTTTCAGACTTTGTTTTTGCCTTTCTGCCTTAGCCTGTTGGAGTCCCATTCCAAACATGCTTTCCTGACCACGTCCTTTTTCTTTTAACTAAATAAGGCCCAGATTAATCAGAGTTTTGTTGTTTTGTGATTTTAAAAACTTGGGTTTTTCTTTGGTTTGTTATACTGAAGACTTGGTAAACTTCAACTTTATTTTTCTGTTATTGCCATCTTTACAATTCTTCGTGTAATTGTCGTTTTCAAAATGCTTTCATTTTCACTTCTGCAAGAATCTACTATTATTTTGGCACAAAATGCAAACGTAAGAGGTAAAATTATGCCCATTTTGAAGACAAAGGAATGTCAAGGATCTTACAGGCTGAAGTTAAGAATGTTTAGATGGAGAAATAAGCAATAATACGTCAGAAATTCAGTCACGTACTAGTTTGGGGAAAGGAAAGTCTGTTGGTGGTTCTGCTTAGATTAGATTTAGTTGTGGAAAGATAAATATGCTGTATGCATTTCTTTTTAACAAAAAGTGAAGGGGTAGTATTTGATTCCTTAGTAAATATTTGAGCACATTTATTTTGTTTCTAAGCAGATGCTGTGTATGACTTCACTTGCTCCATTGAAGACCAGTTGCTAGAACATCCTGAGGAACAATCTGTTGCATGTAATGGACATTGCAAGTTCCCCTTTTCATCTAGAGCCTTTTTGAGTTTCAAGTTTGACCACAATGCTATAATGAAAATCTTGGACCTTTGAAGGCAGCAGATGTATTATAGAAGTCTCAAGATCAGAGGCCTGTTGCATTTGAGCGGGTGTCTCCTCAAGCCTTACCTTTCTCAGGTGTTTTAAAGAAATGCAGGGAGGCAATGTTTCTGAAGAATTTTTTTTTTTTTTCCCAGAAGAGAAAGAATGAGTTTGCACTGTAAATGCGGTTATAACCTTTTATCCAGTTTTACCTTTTCAGTGTTTGGAACAAGTTTTAAGTTGATTTTTTTTTAGGGCATTATTTTGTGTGACTGTGGGTCTTATTTTGTATTCTGATCAAGAAAATAGTATTTGAGTCATCAATAAGTAGCCAAGTTAATGGGAAGGTTCATCTACTTACTACAGTGATTACAGTAATAGTTTACTTATATGAAATTTCAGAAGGAAACTTAAAATATCCAATTAGTAAATGAATATAAGAGTGAAAATGCCACATATCAGGATTGCAGCTCATCTCTTTGGGTGGCATTTTGCTTATTTCTCTGCTTCTAATCATTGAGGCTCTCTGGTAATGTGGCTTGGAATTTTGTGGAAAGGATTTATTTAGAGCCAGCATCTGTGATATAATATTCATGTGCAAAATGAACTCTTCTTAGTCCTTCGTAAACACACAGTCTGCAGCCTGAGAGGGATCATGGTGATGTGGAGTTGATGCTGTAATTTTTAATCGTGCTGCACACAGTCAGTAAGCCTTTGTGTGCTGAAGCAGAGAGCATGGAGCCAAGACTCAGCAGCCCCTCCGGGTCATATCGTCGCCATCTCGCCACCAACCCTTTGGTATTGTTCAATGATTTTGTTCTTGTGAAAATTTCTTCCGTATGTCAGTTGTGTAAATATGTATGGAGAACTGACAATATTAGTTTTATATGGCATATCAGTGCTGATATATAGAAAATGATGTTATATTGGTTCCAGTTTGCAGTAGTGATAAGAGTGTGGCATGCTTTACTGGCATCTGAGGCCCCGGATGAGGGAGTCACAAGGGATGGGGTGTGCAGTTTACCCAAGGACAGATAAAGCACTTCACTAGGGAGAATCAGAACATGGAAGTAACGTACCTAACTCAATCCTAGGAATGTATCTTACTCCTTCAGGATTCTTAAATACAAGAAACAATGGCAATAACCATTTTAAGGAGGATTTTAGCTATAATTAAGGACAATCACCAGAGCTTTAAGGGGCGTTACTTTTTGGCTGCGTCTGACCTCATTGAAGATATTTCTTGGGGGAGAGGGGTGGAGTGTTTGTAAGTGTGTGCAACTGTCATGTGAGTTTTAAAAAACGTTTTACAAGTGGTATCCACAAAATATATCTCTGCTTATAAATGTTACTCTAGAAATCGTTATTCTATATAGGTAGCCTACTTAGCCCTGTGGGACTTTTAAAAGAAGGGCTATTGTAAGGAATTCACTTGTTATTACTATTTTATTTTAGCTTTTAAGTGACTTGATTTTAAAGGAGAAATTTTATTTATTGGAAGTGTCACTCTTGGTGCTAAGCAGAATTCATAATTATGGTGTGTTTTTAGTTACGTTATAATCTTATATCTTTTAACATAACTAATTTATGAATCCTTCTGTGACCTGTGCTTTTTAATGCATTACATCATTGCATTTGAAAGTTCTTTGTTCTTTTCAGAAATACAGCTGCTTTGATCAGGTCTCCTTGAGCCAGCCAGATTCATAGTTGGCCCCGCTGTTCCAGAGTTCTATTCAATTGTGAAGGGAATGAAATATTATTTTGCCTAACAGATGAATAATTTTCACTTGTTTACTGTCGCCTGGAAACCATTTAATTTTTAGTTTTTTTTTACCATGTGACTTCCCCCACTATTAAATAAGTACTTTTGGTCAGTCTTTCTGGTGCCTGTAGAGTTAGATTTTTCAGCTCCCAATACTAAAAAGCAAAAGAGATTAGTTACCAGAGTGTGGTTTCTAATATGGTTAAGCATTTTAAAAAACCAACAGATTATCTTTTTAATTATAATAGTTATTACTGTTGTGCTGCTTCATTTAATGCACTGTGGAACAAAAGGTTATGGTTGGGGTGCAGTTATGATAACTCTATACTTTTAACTTTTGACAGGTTGAAATTAAACATGTTAAAAGATGAGTTAAAGTTTATGTATATGATGTGACTTAACTATGCAGAATAAATGTTTAAGTGGATGTACCTGTTTTATGTACATCTGTTTTACTTACTCGTTTTCGATGTTTAGGTTACCTTGAGACAGGCTGTGCTTAGCACAAGACTCGATTTTTTCTTTGAAATACTTTAGCATGGTTTGAGGAAATTGTATGCTAAAGAAATATCCTGAATATGCAATAATTCTCTTGAGTGCTGCATTTTAAGAGTCTCGATGAGAAGAGTAGTTACAGCTTCGTTATTTTTAATGTGTTGAGAGATAGGTCTTTAAATTCTCATTTTAAATGCTCTTATGTTCCACCATCTCTGTTCCAAAGTGCGATGCACTGTGAATCTTTTTTAAAATTTTGTAGGTGCTTTATGTATAACTTTGATTCATAGGCAGTTAAACAAATTGTTTTTGTACTTAATCTTTGTAATCTTCATAAGGATGCGGTTTACATGGTTTCTACAAAAAAAAAAAAAAATTAAATACCATATGGTTTTAGGATTTGATGCCATCCTAAAAACCTAAACATTTGGAGAGGTCTGGGAACTTAATAGATCTTTGGTAGCAAAGAAATTTGATTAAACATGTTAAAAAATTAAGTTCAAGTTTCATGTTAACATACATATAAAGGATAAAGCCAATGCTGTCAGGATTTTTGGTTACTGCTTGCTGTTTTGAGCTTTTAATATCATTATTTTTGTATCAAGAATCAGTAAACGCAAATAACAAAGATACATAACAATTTTTTGCTACATGATTGGCTTATACTTTTTATTTTTAAGTCTTTAGTACTTTGTATTGTCAAATAAAAAGAACTCAGATTTTAATGAACAACATCCTTCTACTGCGGGAATGAAATTTCTGTGAAACTCAACATTTTGTGTTCTCTAGAACAGTTGAAGTCTTGAGTACACATGTGCATTACAGTTTGATTTCCTCTTCCCTTATTGCTGCCTTTGTATCTCCCCCTCTCATCTTCAACATGTACAGTATTTACAGTAAGGAGAGCAAAATTAATTATAAAAATTAGACTTTTTGCCAACTTTTCCTTATTGTGCTCTCTTGCCTTTTTAGCTTTATTTGTACCAGCAAATCTCCTTTCTCAGAGACTGCTTTGATTGACATTCACCGTGATATTCATTGGATTCTATGAGACAGTATTTTCTTTGTATATTAGAGTCATAGTTATGATCATTAACACTTGGTCTTTGTGATTTTGACTGATTATCTTCCGACTTGGAGAAAGACCTCAAATGTATTATTATAACTTTAAATTGATGATGAGCAGAACAAACCATTATTTTGTCTGAAGATCTTTTGCCTTTGTAACCTGTCTCTGGGTCAAAATTAGTAAAACAACCTTATTCCTGACAGCTTGGTGAAACCTGGGTAGAATTTCTCATTTATTATGTCCTAAGATTTTAATATGCATTAATATAGTTGCCAAAATTTTTGAAAATAAACTTCATGGGCTTTTTTAGCTTTTTTTTTTTCCCTGCCTAGAATTGAAGTACTCTTGAGGCCTGTACTCTTGGGTCAGAAGGCAGCAGGTTGCAAATGCGCAATACAAGCTTTATCTCACTCTTTCAGAGTAGTTCTGGAGCAGTTTCAGAAAATAACGATAAAATCCTATTTTAGAACAAAAGTGCCCTGAAAAGAGAAGATAGCTATACTTGGTGGGTCCAAGAGTATAAAGAGGGAATTGTACAAGGTATACCACTACTTGAGCTGTATAATGCACCTGGTCGGGAATGTGATCATTGCCTAGTTTAAGCATAGTCTGATACATATGGTCATTGCCAGATATTTTCTATCCCTGAATGAAGTTATTTTTTTCTAGGTATGATTGCCAAGCAATCCAAGGAATCTAAAGTATTTTTTTCTCACTTTTAAAGACCAGCGTTTGGGAGTTGGTTTCTTTCTGTGTTGATAGCCACAGAACTAAGTCTAGCCACTCTGCAGTGCCCCCATTACCCAGAGTGCGCACAGCCATACATTTGTCCTGAATGGTGACTGATTTCTTATCAGCTACTTTCCTTATGACAAATTGCATTTATTATTCATATAGTAGTCTGTAGCTCTGGAAGAATGGAGGTATCTTGAATGGGAATAGACTTACTGCTCATATCCAGCATGTACAAAGAAATGTTCATAATGGAGTTTACTCTGGATCCCCAGATTAACTCACCAGTAAAGAGTTTTATTATCTTAGGACTTCTGCAGTTATCAGGAGAGATGGTTTATCCATATTAGCAGCTTGAAAGCACAATGTAAAAGAAACTAACCTTCATATGGTGTTGCATTAGCTCAGTGGTATTACTTAAGGGTGCTCTGAGGAAAGACTGAATGTGGAGATCAACTGTGGGTGTTGTGACTTTGTCTCTTTAGTATGCTTCACTCTAAGAGTTAAGGCCCTAAACATATATTTAGGGGACACATAGTTATTTGTTTATTTTTAATGACCAGTCTTCTGAGTACGTTTAAAGACTTGTTTCTTATCCTTTTTCTTAGTTTGGCCAGGAAGAAGCCATTGAGTCTCGTTTTTATGTTGTGGTTTGGTTTTCCTAATTTGTTCCTTTTGGGAACAGTGTTTTTTCTTTTGTCTGTGCTATATCCCTTTGATGAATTGATCAGTGTCAGAATTTGCAAAAGGTGATTTGCCTTCTGGAGAAGGTGACTTCACTTTGACCTTTGGGCCACAAACAGGACAGCTATGAACACTTGTGTTCTTCTGACTCAGTGCGTGGAGTGTTCAGACTAGTTTGAGAACAGAGAAAACTGTGTGGCTTTAGGGTAAAATGAACAGTATTTGCTGGTTTTTGAGGGGCCTTAATTAAGATAGTGGACTTTTTGATGTAGAAGGTGGTAACATTTATCTACTTTTACTTTAGTGAACCCAGAGTTTAAATATATAGTTACAGACTGGCATAATATTTGGGGCACAATTCTGCATTGTCATTTCTCAAGCTTTAAGAAATTAACACATGCCTTTGTGGTATTTAGGAATACATTATGAACTGCAGCAAATAAAAGCAATGTAAAGGTTCTCAGCTCAATAAAATTTAGAGAAACTCAGTTTAGTTGATAGCAGCAGACTTGTGCTGTTCATGCACTATTATGATATGCACTGATAGAAAAGCACACAGACATACATATCTGCAGGAATCTCTTTGTGCATTTCACTACTGTCCCATTTTAGGTTTGTGTTTGGATGTTGCACAAATAATTGAGATGTCAAATGCGAGTGTCTAAAAAAAAAAACTTTAATTTTCGTTTTCATTTAAAGTTAGGACAGGAGATGGCTAACCTCACCTCTACTTAAAAATACTACTTTTTCTTCAGTAACAGAAATGGACAATAAACCATGAACTATTTTGACTTACATATTTTTCCTTATTTTTGATGTTTGCTTATTATAGTAAAAATATTTTACTTTCAAAAATCATCTTTGTTGAGTATTGACTCTGTGTACAATTCAGACTTAATTTTGTATTGGCTTCAATGAAACTTTAAAACCATCTTATTTCAGTGACTAATTGAATAATGTTTATGTATTAGCTAGTTTGAGTGAAACATCTCTTAAGATTGTCTTTCATCTAACCAAAATAGCGCAGTTTAGTTTGAGTAGGAATGGGAATAATTGGTTTTTAAAATTCTGTGCCTATTTCTAGAAGATTTCAAGTGACTTTTTACATTTTGTTGTGAAGACTAAATGTTTATGAAAGATAGTCTTAAACAGTTTGGGAATGTTTTAGTCTGAAAAATATTTATGCCGAGTCATGGTAAGTTGTTTTTATTTGTGACATAGAAAAGCTGAAAGATAAAAATTGAAGTGGTTTTGCTAAATACATGAGAATTGACTAAAATGAATTGAAAAAAATGAACTTCACAGTGAATGTGATATTTTGACAGATTTGTAAACTTTATTTCTCCAGTAATTGTCTCATGAAATCATGTAACATTTAAGTTTTGCTTAAATTATAGCAGTGTTTTTTATTACTTTAAGTGGTTCTGTCAACAATAGTAATAAAGTTCTTGCTGCTTTTCTTAGTTATCAAGCACAGCCAAGAAAGATCCCCAAAATACCTGTTGCGTTCACCTTGTAGTTATTGAAGCCTTTGAAACAGATTTGTTGTTTCTGGATTACACAGTGGTCTAGCAATAGTTTTCCTTTTCCTTCAGTATTAATAAAAGGAGGTGAGGACTGATTTTAACTTATCTTGGGTATAACTGTCATAAATAAAAGATTTCTAGTGACTCATGTTTGTGAATTGAAATTTAAGTGTTTGCAGAAACATTACACTTCTGAAGACTTGAAGATTGTCAACTGTACTCTCCACTGAGATGAAGTTTTTGTGCTCTAGCCTTTTGTAAGTTTGTGATGTAAATAACATCAGTTTAGAAACTAAAAACCTCCTTATATAAAGTAGATTTATGAATGGTTGCTCAAATATTGACGTATTGTTAAAGTTAGCCTATTTGTAATGTAATACCAATAAATTGGCTGCTTGGGTAGTTTTAGTTACCATCTTAACCTTTTATTTCTGCTACTGTTGTTATTGTGGCTTCTGAGTTACTTATATTTCAGTTGCCTTCTCCGGACCAATAAAAAATGGTGAATGTTACAAACACAAGTTCTATTTATGTAACAGGAAGAAATATTAAAGGATAATCTGCCTGAAAATGGAGAACTGGTATGTATTCCTAATCTAATTGGTGCTTTAAAACATGATTATACAGGAGGACTTGATGTAAACACTCTGTGTGTGTGTGTTGGTGTGTGTGTGTGTTGGTGTGTGTGTGTATTTATTTTTTTTAAACGGGGGATCGAACTCAACTCAGGTCCTTGTGCTATTGAGGCAAGCAGCAAAACTGAGCAATTCTTTAAAAGTGTACTAGGTGCCAGGCTTCCAGAATGCTTCTTCTCCTTGGGTCCCAAGAGTACTGTATTTTTGTTGTTGTTGTTAAGAGATCTCAGCTCTAATGCTACAGAACTGAAGTGCTATCCTCCTGTTATCAAAGGGACTTAGTTTCTGTTCTGCAGTGGAAAACTGACATTGTACATTCTGTTTGTGTCAGACAGAGCTGCTTGCTCTTTGCAGTTTTGTTGAGTCATACATGACTCCCTTGAACTTTATCTTCCCTGTTTCAGTAGATAATTTCCCAGGTGTGCCAAGTTTGAAAAAGTAGTCAGATGAAAGTTTGTGGTTTGAGCTAATGTCTAAATTTTTAGCTCCCTATTTTTGACTTAGGGCTTCTGATTTAATTAAGTATGTCAGGTTTGGTATTTTTAATTAAAACAGTACAACATGGAATTAGAAATATTTATTCAGAATATAAGAATGTTTGTAAAATATTATAAATGTCTCTGTATAAATAAGTGAAGTTTTTTTAAAAAAACAATTCTATATCAAATAACACAAAGTAGCTATTTTACAGCAGCTAAAACTAAAGGCATCTGGGAACATTTAAAGCATATAAGTGAAGAATCCAAAATACAAGATATAGTACAGTGTTAAGTAGCAACTTTAAAATGAGACTTTCAGTACAAACAGCAGAACAATACTGACAAATGCAAATGCAGACACATGTGCTTTAATAACTGACAGTACATTCAAGCAGGTTTTTCTAGTGATTCAAGTGGTATAAAAGTAGCACAATTTCAAATAGGAAACAAATCTCATGCAAAGTAAATAAGTCTTGAAAAGCTAAAAACTGATTAGAAATAAAGTGAACATGTTTCATGATCTTTAAAATTAGGTTGAAATAAAAGCAGATTGTTAGGGGCTGTCAATTACACTTGGCAGTTCTGACATGAACACTGTAAGTGAATACTGCAAGTTCTTCCAACAGAACTTGTTCCCACAAATTCGTCTGGAGAAAGTGCAAAAGCAAACGGTAGAGCAAGAACTATTTAAGCAGGGCATCAGTGGGAATGTGGGGGATTACTGATTTAAGTTGCACTGTTCTGCTGAGCTGGTATTTCAGATGATTAATGAATGGCTATGAAAAGATGAAATACTACTAGTCAAGGGTATGGTTATCAATGGCAAACTGCTGTTTCTGGGACTGAATGGTACTTGTCTTCTGAAAACTCCCTCTCTGAAGTAATGTGTTAGGGTTAAGTAAAACAAAACCAAAAAATGTAACAGTTGTCTGCATATGAAACTATCTTCCTCTGTGGGCACATCAGCAAACAAGAATACATGAATCACTGTACACTTTTGTACCCCTTTCCACTTTTTATATTTTAATAGCAACTGAGTGCTCAGTGATGCTGCGGTGACAACAGCTGGCTTTATATTAACTGATAATTCAGGTTCCAATTCTAAAGTTACTTTGAAGCAGAGGCATCTCAGTGAATACAGAGAGTAACTTCTGTGCAGAAAACAGGGCACTTCAGAAGGCTACAGTTGAGAGCAAACTTCAGCCTGACTTATAAAGTAAACACGAGGTTCAATTATGGATATACAAAACAACTTTATGTAATGAAGGTATTTTTATTTTGTTGCAAGTTCCACCTATTCTACAAACTCCAGAGTTTGCAAGCCTTAATCAAAGAAAGGCGGTGATTATATCATTCCTGGTCAAAATAAGCTGTTCTGTTTAGATAAATAGAAAAATAATTCAGAGGAATCTGAACGTTTATAGTATTCTACAAAGTTATCATTTACTGCAAAAAACCAAAAATGTTACATATGCTCTTGCTACCCACCCATCCCAAAAACCTTTGGCTGCACTGTAAGTGTGGTGCAGACGTTCTGGCTATCACAGAATTCTCTCACTGTTCGGGTTCTCGGTGCTTTCGAATTATAGCTCTAGTTGCTGCATGCAGAAGTAGCTGAAAGCTGTATGCTGAGCCTGAATTCTTCACTTAAAATGTCTCTAGAATGAATGATGTACTCCCAATTACGCATCTGTAGGTGACTTCAAGCTTTATGGGGGAAAGGACACTTTCCATTGTCATTAATAAAATTGTAACTTGATGCCTTTCTCATCATATAAAACATGAGAATGATACTGCAAACTTGAGCGTTTTAAGGAAACTGACAACTAAAAATAATTGCAGTATAATTTTTTGTACGCCATAGGAAATAATCTTTAGAAGGAAACTGGCAGCCACTTCAATCCACATCAGTGACAAAGGTGGCAGCCCAGTCTTGTCCAGGTAAATACTGAGCAGTTTTTTCCCATTTAAGATAGTATCTGTATACAGCTGGGAACTAGAAGGCTTTTGATATAGTTTCAGAATTTCCACAGGGTGGCAGAATTCTTACTACCCTCACTGTGACAGCTTTTAGGAAAAAGCCTTTGGGCTCTTAACTTGGGACTGCCTTTCTACAACGGGACGTAAAGACTAATTTAGTTTTCTGAGTTCCCTGTATTTGCTGCAGGCTCAGGGGAAGACTTAGAAGTACTGCGTGCATCTGAAAGGAGAATTAAGCACTGATGTTTAACTGGACTGTAACTTTATTGACCTAACATTTCAGTCTCAGGCAACAGGAATATTAACTTCAACTTGATCTGCCAACAAATGAGTAAATATGAAAATAACCTCCATCAGCAATGAAACAATGTACATCAAGGCGTAGAGCATGACAGAGAGTATGATAAATCTCAACTGTCTGATGACGTCTTTAACAATAATCTTTGAGGTAAGCCTCAAAACGGAATTTTGCTGCCTGTGAGTTTATGGCAGTTTTGGCAGCTGATACACATGGGCTGGCCAGTGTATCAGATCCAGCTGGTAGGCTCACACATGAATGGCACTCCAGCTGTGAACGGAAGGCTCCTATTTTTCTGCCATCCTTGCTTTCCTTAGCCTCAATTCAGTGATGGGAAATATATTCCCAGGGAGCTGTGAAACATCCCGTTGCTCTATGCACATTTCTTCAGGAGCCAAAGACTGAACAGAGGAGATAAACAAGGGGCAACTACTAAAGAATCTAGAGAAGACAACTGAAAATACTAAATTTTGAATTAAAAATCAAGATCACTGTTTACCTCCCCAAATGAGATGTTAATGGAAATAAGCTCCTAGAGAGATTCTGGTAGAACAGTTATACAAGAGAAAATTACACAGGCATCTGACACCATTTAATCAATGCAATTCAGTCACCTTTTAACAAAGATTGTCGCGAAATCAACTATAGCTTTTTATAATACATACTAATAAAAGTAACATGTTTGCCTGGGATACGTTTTCTTACCTCTCACCACACAAAGTATTATGTTGAGCTACACTGACACGTAAGGCCTGGAAGGATGAACACTGCTAGGGCCATAGTAGAAGAGCTGAGGCCCTTTCTATCTGGAGAAAGTACAAGGCTTAAAACAGTGGGTTCTTTGATTTTACCAGCAGCAGAGGTCAGTGGGCAGCCATACTTTCTAGTATTGGTGGAAATGGAAAATACCCATTTGATTGATGTCTGTTCATTTACAAGAACAAAAAACCATGTGCATTCCAATTTGCCTAGGACAAGGTGAAGAGTAATGAAAGCCAATTTCATCTATTAAACATATTTTTTTTGCATATACTTTACAGCTAAAACATGTTCCTCTTGACAAAATAACAGCTTTATCCGAAGGGTGAAGATGCACTTTTTAAAAAGTGACTTATTAGAATTTTGTCTAAATAAGAATAGAAACAGTAATTAAAGCATCCAAACATTGGTCCTTACAGTCTCATAGTTTTTTGTTTTGTTTTGTTTTTTTCCCTTTCACTTTTGAGATGATTGTTACTGCTGGCCTGAGAGAAGGGGTGTTGCTTTTAGGGATGAACTGTGTTCTAGGTGGTGGCTGGAATTCTCTTCCCTGTTGCACATCATCTTCTGCTCTCTAAAAATATGGGCGGGGGATTTAGCTCAGTGGTTCTACAGCCTGCCTTGCAAGCACAAGGACCTGAGTTCGATCCCTGGTACAAAAAACAAAACAAAACAAAAAAAGACCAACTTGTACTGACAGCTCATGGACAGGAAGATTTTCCTGCAGTGACCTGGTTATAATAGAACTGTAGTTAACTGTGACATCAGAACCTATTTCTCACTCGGGACTTGGGAAGTCTTGGGGCTACAGGGAAAAAAATGATCTTGTAATCTCATCAGCGTAGAACTGAAAGAAGGGTAAAAAGGGGTGAAGGCTGTAGTAGAGAAGAAATGACAGTTTAAAGTGGAAGACTTCCAAGAACAAATTCAGGTACTTAGCTCCTGCCCAGCCCTGTTAGCATTTTGCTGGAAATAAAACCTTTTAAGCAGATTATCAAATCATCACCATGTATCTTGAGAGAAAAAAGCCTTGTAACTGCACCCTTTCCCTTTCTTCATGGAATAGGTGCTCAGTGCCCAAATGGAGGCTCACTAGTACTTAAGTAGGTGGGAACAGCTATGCAAAATATTCAGCATCTCCTGTTCCAGTGCACACTTTCTTGCCCTTGAGAGGAGAGGGAGGGGAAGACGGAAGGAGCGTGGGTGCTACAGTTGTACTTAGAATGAGTTTTGATCCAGCAGAACAGCAATTACGTAGTGCCACACAGCTGGGGCAAGTGCTAATACTGCTGCTCTGTTCCGAAACCCTAATAGAATTACATGTGTCATGATTCTCAGCTCTTAAGTCTTAGCTCCCCCCCACCCCCCGGTACTGGGGATTGAACTTGGTCCTTGAGCTTGCAAGGCAGGCCACCGAACCCCTGGCCCTTTAAGTCTTAGCGCTATTAATAGTCCATTGAGAAGGAAAAATGTTAGAATCAAGAAAGCTCCCTTCCCAGCCTTGCTTCTAAAATGTAAGGTTGAAGGACATCTCTACTCTTGCAATACAGGATGGCTCCAACACATCTCTGGTGACTACTTCTAACTGATGGCACTGTAAGTACCATCCTAGGGCAGTGGCAAACTTTAGAGGTAGAGATCCTCTAGAGTTGACAATGTGGGGCTTGAAAACCAGATTCTTGTTGGAGCAAGCAAATGAGCAGTCCTAGGTGCTAGAAACAAAGATGTGTGCATCAGTTTTCCCTAGGAGGAAGAGGAAGGAAAGAAATTTGAGATTCCAGATTAGCCCACTATCTGAATATTGAAAGACTGGTAAATTATAAAAACAAATGCACTGGATCCCAATGATATACAGAGAAGGGGAAACAGTGACTGCTGAAAGCAGAAGCAAGACACTAGAGCACAGTGCACAGGGCCTTCGCTTACATACTGCCCAAGAATGGACCCAGGAGAACAGGGACAGAATCCTGTGGGGGTAGAATCCATAGGGTTGCTGGGGTCACTCACCACGAAAAGTGAGTCTGTGGCACTCCGTCCAATCGCTGACCGTTGTGCCAGCCTTTGTCTTCCCAACAGGTCCTCTGGGGGCCCTTCTTTCAGGGGCCTGCTAGAGTTTCCTTTCAGGGACAGAAATTTGGTGCCTAAGCGCTGATTAGAGTGAAGTTTCATTGGTGTGTGGCCTGGAGTTCTCCTCCTCCAGCAGAGCTATTCTTTGTTTGAGCATTCTCACTTGGGTCTCATGTCTTTCCACCATGGCCATCATCTGAGACTCCAACTTCTTCAGCTTATTCTGATGCTTTTTCTTTGCTTTTTCATATGCAGCCACCAGGTTGCTATGTGGGGTTGGAGGGAAATGAGAGTAAAGATTTGTCCTGAATAGCAAGAGACACACTGTTCAGGCTCGTAGGTAGCCAGGGCCAGTGAACACTGCTCTAAAAAGAGCTCACTCTAGCTCTTCAGAAGAATCTGAAACCAAGTGCTGAAAAGCAGTATAAAACCCAGACACTGGCACTCAGTTCTAGTCATCTGCCAGTTTAACCATGATTACCCAGCCCCACAGCTGTAGGCTTGTCACACTGACATTTTAGGAAGGTTTTACTAGGAGTGAAACCAACAACCCAGACTAGCTAAATCTAAAGAAAACAGACTTGGAATTCAGCTACTTTTTAAGTACAGATTTCAGCCCACTTGTTGCTCTGTGGCATTTGTACATTACAAGAGTGTTGCCATGAAGTAATGTTACTTAGGATCAGGGCAAGGAGGCTTGTCCCCCTGCCCCGAAATTTTAATATAATAAATTTCCACAAATGTATTCATCACAGGGATATGTGAGAAATACGGCCAGCCGTCCTCATAAGTAGGCAGAGAGAAAGCCCAATAAATATAGATAACCTCTCTGGTTCAAAATGGCACGTTCAACCTTTCCATGGCAGTCACACTATCCTTAAAGCCATGATTCTTAAAAGTGTGGTCTGAGGATGGACCAACCCCTGGCAATTCCCAAAACCTATCCAGGGTTATCTGTGAGGTCCTGACCTTTATTTCTAACACATTTGCTGGAAACTGGTGTTTACACGCTTTGTTTTGTTAACAAATCAAACTCAGGACCTTGTGCTTTTGAGGCAGGCGGTGGCACAGCGGCAGCACTAAGCTAAATCCCCGGCCCCTTGTTTACACACTTTGAAATAACATGTTGACTGCAAAAGCAGATGTGAAGCCAGCGGTCTTCTATTAATCCAGACGTTACACTTGGAAAAGTAAATAGTGCCACTTTTCTAACTGTCTTTTGGAAAATACTTTTTCATTAAGATGACATTTGTTTTACACATAGTGAGTTTGGGTAAATGAATAAAAACTTTTAACAAGTTTGTCTCAGTTTTAGTTTCTGATATGAAAAGTATCAATAAATTACAGGAATGAAAGCTCTTTGAAATATTCAGTTTTTATAAGTGTAAAGGGCTCCTGAACCCCCCAAATTTTAAGACTGCTGTCTTAAGATAGCATAGTGTCTTAAAGTGGTCCACTGGATATTAAATGGTTTCATAGCTAGTTTGGAAAACACTGGCTTAAACAATGATACTTCATTGTATGATTCTCAGAGCCTTTACTATATATCAAGAAGAGACCACAGTAATCTGCTTTTTCTTAGTTTACTTTGGTCAAAGGACCCATCTTTCCTGAGTACTTCTTAGGTTTCTGTGTGGCCTCTTGGTGGATACTTCTCCGAAATGGGGCAGGTGAGGACACCCCGCTGTCCAGAGTTGCTTCCCAAGACTACAGACAGGTTCTCCTTTGTGCCTGTGGATGGGTGCAGTCCAAGTACCCCTGGGACAGATGAGAATTCTTACCTGTTGGCACGCTTTAGATCATTAACAAACTCTGCGGATTGCTGATGTCGGATTTCACTGCTCTTGGTGAGTCTCTCCAAGGCACTCACAAGCTCTTGAACTCTGGCCTTCAGCTTCTTTTCTCTGTGTCAAGGAAAGAATCATTGCCATGAATAGCTTGAGGTGACAGTGGAGGAGCCACCCTCCCACCCCCTCCCCCGCAGTCATGGGGAGGAGGCAGGTGCAGCCAAGTCAAAAAGGCAGCTATGGAAAATGACCTCAAGATCTCGGGTGTAACATCGCTGTCCTGGTCAGCACAGCTAGAATGAACACTGGACCCCAGCCTTCACAAAGGCTGATCTGAGCCTGTTTCTTGAATAAGAGACCTTCAAAGATCTTAAGTGCCACAAGGGAACAGATAGGTATTTCTGTGGCTGGCAGAGAAGGTCACTGGCAAAACATAAAAGGCAAAGTGGAAAGGAGAGGAGTAGAAATGATACTCATTTTGTAAAGGTCCTGGTTTACCAATAAAGCATTCAAATTTTATTTGCATTTTGATTTCTACTGTTTTTGTTCCATGGCTCTGTGCTGTAGAATTCATACTGAGGGAAGTCAGTGAGGGGCAGTTTCTGGAGTCTCATCAGCTTATAGCTTTCCTCAAATTCCCACAAGAGCCCAAGATTCAGGCACAGCACCTCCCATGAATGGTGCCAACCTGCACCATGGCACACCAGACTCAGCAGTCCCGCCGTAGTCAGGTGGGCTCTCCAGTGGATTCCCAGGACTACCCTGAACCTCTTCAGAACCCTGCAGTAAGTACTTAGTGCCTTGAAACTTACTGGGAAACCAGCACTTACGGAAAGGTGTGTCTCTAGAAGGGACTGAGTGTGGAGAGTATGAAGTACCTCATTAGTCCATATGACAATGTGGTAATACCTAGGAAGAATACCTAGGAAGAATACCAAAGAATGGACACTTCCCTTAACCAAGCAACTTGAGATTTAGGACTTTATCTTACAGAAAAAAACATGAGCATAGGTTCCTAAAGACAGTTTTATTTAGTCATCGCTGGATTCCTTCAGCTTTGGTTATAATAACTAGGAATGGAAAAGAACCAGGGGAGTGGTTAAGTTTATCAAGGTATAGCCATGCTATAAAATGCCTGCTTGAAGAAGCCCGTTTATAACAGATCGACGAGCAGTGACACGAAGAGGATCTCCCGTGGAAGTGAAAAGGATGAGTTCCAGGGCATCACTTTCTAAAAACAACTGGAGATCTGAGTGTGTAACTACACTAGAAGGCTAAACGCCAAACTCAATAATAGTTAACTCAAAGGAAGGAGGTATGGCTGTTCTACTTTATTCTTGTATTGCTTTTGAGTTTTATGATCTGTATGCTTTCTGTAAAGGTGTCTTAGTTGTGCTTCCTGTGGGAATGACACAGGAATGTGACTGCAGCAGGGTCAAAAAGTCCTTGTGGATGTACTGTGGTTTGGATGCTGGCTTCTCGATTATCTAATCTTTTACATTTCTGATGCATGGCAAGCCAGGCTCTCCAAATTGATTACTGAAGGAAGCCTTTTGCAAGGGACTGAGGTAGGATGAGATATTTGCTGTCCAAATCATTCCTCAGTGAGTACCTCCCACCTCCCTTAGCTACTTGGGGGATGGAGCTGGGGTAGCTGGGGCTGTCAGCCAGCCTCCCACTTCCTGCAGAATGTGTGCTCCCTGACCCCTAGCAGCCACCAGGGAGTCGAATTTGGTTGCATTTCCAAGTGGAATCAGAGAGTGGCAGCATTACCTAGCAGAAGTGAGAACATATTGCTGAAAGGAGTTCCCTCTTAACCTTCTAAGCAGCCAGCTCCCCTCCAGTTAAAGCAAGGCTTAAGAGCATCAGGGGTCACCCCCCCAACCGTCTGGCTGGAAAGAACAGGGTAGAGTTGTTTATTCTGCATTTTTTGTTCTGATTCCTTCATGTTCTTTCTAAAATTGATTGTACAAAGAGAAAAAAGTAACTAGAGAACTGAAACTGTAACTCACAAAATCTGTCACAAAAAAACCCACTCAAAGCAGAACCATCCCTGCCTCCCCCATCGCTTCCACACCCTGCAGACAGGGAGAACATGGAAAACCCAGCCCCAGTACAAAGGCCTTCCTTCCCAGCGCCTGGCCTCAAGGCACCAGAGGGAACTTTCCGGACTTGGCAAGCTCCAAAGGAGGGACAGAACACCAGGCAGGCAGGAGAGGATCGCAGATGCCTCCTAGGCCAGCTTGGGCCATTAGAAGGAGCTCCAACAAGCCCGGCCTGACCACCACACCCCAAACTAAGGATGGGAGAGGGGAGTCAAAGGCTAGCAAGAACTGTCACTGATTTATTTATAAAGTTGCAAAGACAAGGTCAGATGTAGGTCATTTATTTTCCTTTGACAGTAGGAGTTGGGACTTCAGAATCACTTGCCTCACAGCATCATCCAAACACTGAAGTAACAACTTCCTTAGAGCTGTGTATCCATCCAGTCAAGAACAGCCACTGGCCACGGGCCACAGCTATCAGAGTACTCAAGGTGGCAGCACCAATCCGATGTGCTCTAAATTAGTGTAAAACACACTGGAGTTGGAGGCTGTGATACAAAAAGTGAATACAAAAACCCTATCTTTTAAAATCTTTGGCCCTTGCCTCCCTCCCTTTCTTGAGGTGGTGATCTAACCCAGGGGCTCATGGACCCTGGGCAAGTGCTCTACCACTAACCCACATTCCCAGCTTGAGATGTTTTACATTAGGTTAAATATGCTATTCAAATTATAATCAGGTGGGTGTGGGGCAGCCTCAAGCATGTTAAGCAAGCACTTTACCACTGAACCACACCCCTAGCCCTATTAATTTCACATTTAAAAAATTAGTGTGGAATTTAAAAATTTTTAAACTATATATATGACTTGCCTGTGTGGCTCAAATTATATTGTAGAAAGAAGTTCTCTAGAGCATTTATTTAAAAGTGTATTCTCGGGTTATTCCCCTGGATTTTGATTCAGTGCGTTTGTGCTGAAACCTGGCAAGTGCTTATGAGGTGCCCAAGTGACTCGTTACAGGGCGGAACAGAAACTGGGCAGGCACAAGGGCTTCAGCGGGGCAGTGAGGACAGACACCCTGAATCTAACAGCTATGTGCGAAACCATACCCAGGGGATGACTACAGTCTTCCTCTACAGCTCTCCTCACTCACAGGACGACCTGGAAAAAACCACCACAGAGGACAATCCCAGTGACTTCAGAGCCTTAGCCAGCCATACCTGTTCCTGCAAGTTTCTAATTCAAATGTGCTTGGACCTCAGTTCAGAAGAATCTATGCAGTTTATCTATGTTCTAAGGCCCAAATGAGCATTTTCTCAGGCATTATACTGATGAGAAAGCAGAAATGAAAACACCGTATGTCCCATTTCCCTCTCTATACAGTGTGTTCTAGAATGCCCGGTACTTACAGTCCCTTTCTTCCTTGTTCTTTCCTTCCCAGTAGCTTTAGGTACTCATGAAAATATACCTGTACCATCAAATAAAAACAAAACAGTACAGGACAATGATAAAACCATGGAAACCCGAGTCTCCCAGTATGCACATGCATTTCAGGTGTGGGTCTCCCGATCCACTTCCTCACTAACATCAAGGGCTACTCTTTATCACAAAAGGTCATACGAATCTTACTATAACCACACAGCCAGGAAAGTACTTTTTTTTTTTAAATTGAAAATTTTAAGCACTGGAGGATGTGGAGGGGATTTGAGAGGCAGCCTCACGATGGGAAGTTTAATGGAACATGGAAACCAAAGTGGCTCGTCAGCAAGCTGGGGGGCAGATGCCGAAGCAGGACTTGGACGCTTGCTGGGCCCCTGGCAACTGGGGTGCACGGCTTCGCGAACACGTCATGAGGAGGTTGGATCCTCCTTACAAGGATTAGGCCGATAGGCTATACTCTGTGATTAGAGTCACCAGGGCGAGCGCCCAGTCCTGATGAGGTGCTGTGTGGCTTCCCAGCCAGCTGAGAAACCTTTCAGAGGAGCTGTGATCAGACCAAACCACGGGGAGTCATGGCCATGCCACCACAAGGCTGGAATTTCTTAGCAGTTGCTAATTACGTGGAATTAGAACTGAGAGTTGTCTGCATATGTGGTTCTCCCCCTCCTTATTCTTCAACCCCAATCTGGCTTCTGCTCTGTGGAAATGGCTGGGTCAGGTCACCAGGGAGTGCACTGCTTCGGCCAGAGGAGGGTCCTTTGCTGATCCCTCAGTGGCACCTGCACGCTTCACCGCGCCTTCTCCCTCCACTGTCTCAGTTCTCTAGATTAGTGCAAGGCCTGCAGGGCCTGGACTCCACCCTCCACTTAGGGTCCCCTCAGTTGTCTTCTTTTCCTCTTTCCTCTCCTCATACCACTTGCAGATGCTGGGAGTTCCTTAAGCATTCTTTACTTAAGCCTGGACTAGATTTTAATTTTACCTTTCTTTAATTTTGTCCGCTTAAATTTATTTTCCTGAAAACTATGTGCGAAAAAGTCCAAATCCTTATCTCTAGACCCTTCTTCAGAGCTCTGGACTTGTACATTTGATGCCTCTATGTTAACAGGCATCTTTAGTTTAACCTGATAAGAGCAGAACTTTTGAAATTATCATCAAACCCACTTTTTCTGTATCGGCAAAAGGCAATACCACTAGTCTGGTTCCTTACATTGTCTTGGAGTCTTCCCTCCTCCCATTCACTCCCCTCACCCTTCGTATCCATTCAACAGCAAACTCAATCTTGTCCTGTTGCCACTTCTGCTACCACCAGGAGGGTTCAAGCTGCCATCTTTTCTCACTTAGATCACACCGACAGCCTCACTGGCTTCTCTGCTTTACCTTTGTACCGTTCTGATCTGGTTTCCACACAATGGCCAGGTGAGGTTTTCAAAGGATAGATCGGATCATATTATTGCCCTTCAGTGCCTTCCACTTGCACTTGCAAGAATGTCTGTCTCACCTCCACTGCGAGGCTTTGCTTCCACTGTTTACTTGAGGAATCTGATTTTTTTTTTTTTTTTTTTTTTTT